GTATGGATATGATCCTAGTTTACAAAATATCTCTTTTTGCTTTCAATAAAAATCCATTTGGCATCAGCAGTGAGAACCCTTGTGCTAAGGCCTCTTCTGAATCCAACTTGAGTTCCCAGCAGTTCTCTGTTGATATTCCAGATATTTTAAAAAAATAATCTTCAGAAAATTTTTATTTGAATTTTTAGATTAAATGCCTTTTATTTTCTTCTTGTTTTTAATTGTGTGTTAAGTGAGAGTTTACAAAGAAATTGGCTTTTGATTCGCTCTTTTATAAATATTTATCCCCCTTTTTCTTCTCCCTTCATTCCCTCAGGCATTTCCTGTATCAGCTTCTTAGTTGCATTACTCATGATTTCTTATTGCTCATTCTTTTCATAATTACCTTCTGTTCACCTATTCCAAAGCCCTGTTCTTTGTATATTCATTCTCTTCTGGTTCTCTCCACATTCTCCTGCTCCCACTGCCTTGTAATCTTCTTGATTTTAAAACAGTAGTATTATACTGCATTTGTCCCTTTGTGACTGAGTTAATTCACTAAGTATTATGTTCTACAGACTCATCCATGTTGTATAATGTTTCTTGAGAACTTAATTGTTTTTCAATACTGCCTAATATTCCATCTTGTGGATGTACCACAGTTTCTCTATTCATTTGTTTGTTGATGCATATTTATCTCCATCATACATAAAACCAAACTCAAGGTGGATCAGAGACCTACGGATAAAACCAGAAACTATCAAGATCATTAGTGAAAAAATAGGAAAAAATTTGGACATTCTAATCTGTGGCATGAATAGACTTTCAACTAAAACTAAGAATCTATAATTAAGAGAGGATAAAATATATGAATGTGACCCTCTGAAAAAAGAAAATCCTTGTGTGCATCAGAAAAATTCCTCAACAGGGTAGAAAGGAAGCCCACAATTAAGAAAGATTTTATTTGGTAATGATGTATCTGATAGAAGACTGATATCCAAAATCTTTAGAATACCCAGCATCTCAATAAGAAGAAGGCAAGCAACCCAGTTACAAAGTGGGAAGATATGAAGGGGCTCTTTACCAAAAGGGATATTCATATGGTCAATGATCACATGAAGAAATGCTACAGATTGCTATCTGTTAGAGATGCAAATAAAGACAGTAATGAGATATCATCTCACCCCAGTAAAAAGGGCAAAGTTCAACAGGAAAGCAAATAATGAGTGCTGGTAAAGATGTAGGGAGATTGGAACTCTCCTGTATTGCTGGTGGGAATGTAAAATGATTTCAGCTTATGGAAGGGTCAGCTCTGGGTCGGTTCTGACTTGATAGTACTCAACTCTAACAACTATCAAAGGCAGCCTGGTACTTCCTCAGAGGACTAAAAATAGAAACATCTTTCAACCCAGCTATGTCACTACTAGGAATTATTTCAAAGAAAATAGAGATAAGACACAAATAAATGTATGCACACTCATATTTATTGCAGCATTATTCACAAGAGCAAAGAGATGGAAATAGCCCAAGTGTCTATCAACAAATGGATGGGTAAAGAGATTGTGGTGTTTGTATCTAATATTGTTCAGTAATTTCCATAGTCTGTTGGATCACCTTTTTTTTTTTTTTTTTGAGAGTTAGAACAAATGTGAATCTCTTCCAGTCAGTTGGCCAGGTAACTATCTTCCAAATTTCTTGGCATAGCCTAGTGAGTACATCCAGGGCTGCATCTGTTTCTTTGCTTCTTTTTAAACACCTCAGTTGTTATCCCATCAGTCTCTGGGGTCTTATTTTTTGCCAATGCTTTCAATGAAGCTCAAACTTCTTTCATTAACATTGGTTCTTGATCATGTGCTACTTCTTGAAATGGTTCTGTGTCAACCAATTCTTTTTTGGAACAGTGACACTATTTATTCCTTCCATCTTCTTTCGATGCTTCCTATATCAATCATGTTTATCATGTTTCCCTAAAACTGAACAAATATATTCCTAGCTATATATCTTAGAGGAAAATTTTTGCATATGTATCTCAGAGTTCTATGTAAGAGCTTTCTTTGTTTTAATAGCACATATAAAATTTAAAGGAGTTGTGCTGCCAACTCTAAAGCCATCAGTTGCTTCAGGGGAGAAAGATGAGTGATTTACTTTCATGGTGCTCACAGCTTCTGAAAACATGATGGAGGGTCAGTTATGAGTTGATTCTAACTTTATAGCAAAGAGAAAATGAAAGAGAATGAGAAAGAAAATCTTAAAAAATGAGAATTATCCTTAGGAATGATGCCAAGAAAATATACAAATTGTGATAGAATCAGGAAATGGAATACTATACAATTGTGGAAATGAATGACTTACATTCGTCAAAGCTGATCTATCTCACAAACAGGATGTTGTTGTTGTTGTTATGTGCCATCGAGTGACTTGTGACTCATAGCGACCCTATGTACAACAGCCCTAAACTCTGCTCTGTCCTGTGCCAATCGCACCATCTCCAATACACCCATACCAATTGCCCCAGTCACTGAATCAGTCCACCTCAGAGAGGGCCTTCCCCTCCTGCGCTGTCCCTCCACCCTACCAACCATGATGTCCCTCTCCAAGGAATGGCCCCTCCTTACAACATGTCCAAAGTATGTTAGACGGAGCCTCAGAATCCTTGCCTCCAAGGAGCAGCCTGGTTTGACCCTTTCCA